CCCCCTCACACACACACACACCATCACATTTTCCACTGATAAGAAAGAGACAATTTATATATCGACAAAGATGTAAATCTTGGGAAAATTGAATAACCTTTTGTTTCCAGTACCAGTAAAGAAAATGGGTTCACCTGTAAAATTCTAAAATTATTCTCACAATTTTTTTGAAAATTTTGAGTTAAAGAAAGGTCATGTCAGCCACCCAGAAAAAATATCCTTATAAACATAAAGATTACCCCTTAAGATTGGTGATGGGTTTGTCTATTTTCCTTTCTGTGACATTCATTGAAAATTTTTATAGCTGATGTTTGGGATTTTTTACCATATGAGATGTCTCATATTTCACTTGATTAATGTATGGAGATAATTTTTGGATAAAAATCATTTTTGGCAGCCATCTTTGTTAAGTAAAAAGTCATCAATCATTGTTATCAGGAAGGATTTTTTTATATATGTGCAGCGCACATTCACTACTTGTCATTCTTCCTTGAGTGTGGAGTGGTTGTCAGACACAGGGAGATTTTCTGCATTTCAGTGTGGGCTTGAAATTATTAAAGTCATTGCTAAAGAGCACATCTACAATTTCCAGGCAAGTACAAAACACCAGCACATGCATAACAGAAGTATTCAGAAATGTCAATGAGCAACATTTACCTGAGCAATTATGATTATAAATCACCTATAACAGAAGAATTGAGAAACGTTGACAAGCAGGCCATTAGTTGAGCCGTTAATTAGCAATTAATCTTTGATGGAAGTTGTACAGTTCTGCCTATAATACACAACACATGGAGAATTGAAGGGATCAGACTTTAACATCAATCCCAATATCATAAGATTTTGGGAAACCCAAAAAAACCCTATCAAGATGACACACTGGCTCCAAGCAAAGGAGGGAAAAGAAAGCTGATTGAATATAAGATCAATGTTACACAATCAAGCTAGCAAATTGCAAATGTAAGACAAGAAGAAGAAAAAAGTGTCCATCATTGGTAGGATGATTATATTTATAAACATATCTTCAAAAAGTCTTTGTTTGCTGATAAGATGAAAATCCTCATTGACAGCTCTGTAATAGTGTCTTAAATAAAAGTAAGTCTTTTTTATCGCTCCTCTTTCACTCAATTTCAAGGGTTAACTTCTCTCGATAAAGCAGAATGTTTTGCTCATAAATTCTTCTCAAAATCTACTCTTGACTAGTCTGGAGAAAGATACTCTTTGACATTCCACTTAGAACTGAGTTCCTATTTTATGATATACAATATTATTTTCCATGCTGTCATCTCTAAACTAGATCTCCTCAAAGTATATGAAATTTATGGTATCATTTAAGAAATGTTCTCTGAAATTGGCCTCTGTTCTCTCAAAATTGTACAATAAATGCCTTCTTGCTTGTTGACAATTTCTTCTGTAGTTCCTGTTTTAAGATAAACAAACCATCTGATCCTTCTAACTATTGATTTATTAATTTCTACTGCAATTTAAATAATAGAGACTCTAATCAACTCTGAATTGATTAAGCATCTCTCCTAACAGGGTCTTCTTTCAGATAAGCAATATGACTTGCTTCTCTAGGTCAAATGCTGATGTATTAATAGTTGTTGCTGAAACAGTCTGTCAAGCTTTTGTTAAGAATGGTGATCTATGATGTTTTTGTTGTTGGGGAACAAACTAATAATTTGAGGTTTGAATTTTTTTTAGAACAGTAGATAGGATCCCAAGTTTACTCAGTAGATTAAAAACTAATTGGTCAAAAATAAATTCTGATTTTTCCTTTTTTTGAGTAATAATGTTTAGTCTCAACTTAAAACTTGTAGAGAATTCCATGATATATTCCATAAATTTATATATCTCAGATATCTTACTGTGAACAAATATTAAGGGAAAATTATTAAAATGAATCCTGTGGCAGAAAACAATGATGAGGTGTAATAACAAGAGTGGCATACATGAATAAGAGACACAGACTGAGAATAATAAAAAGTTTATTGCAAAAAGAACAAAACATGTTACAGTTTATTGTGGGCCTATACAATGTTAATGCATTGTATGCAAAAATATTCCATTTTGGCTGATAACAAGATATGAAATAAGAAAAAGGAATGTATTCATGTGCATTGTAGAAAATCAAAAACTTGCCTTTCCATTACAAATAACTTTCATAACTTCCAACTTTTTGCAGTTAAACTGCTCTTCATAAAAAAACAGCCCTGTCCATTTTTTTGTCATTATTGCTGTATTAAAAATTTTTTGCATTACAAATTATCCTTTCTCCAGGATTCAAATGCTTATTCTTTTGTACTATACCTTTTCATTAATTGAAGAAGAACATGGTTTCCTCTAATTTACCTTCCCATCAGTGTCAAGGGCTTTTGTTCTGCCCTATTTGGGAACTTAACTTTTCTAGGCCTGATAGAACCAGTTTCAATCCAACTATTAATGTCTTTGAAGACTCCGCAATGTTTATTCAACCAGAAATAACAAGAATGTTAAGAGAAGGAATAATCGAAGAAATCAGATCACAATGGAGGGTACAAGTATTAATAACATCTTTTGATAATAATAAAGAATGGTCATAGACTACTCCCAAACTATAAATAGGTACACCCTCCTGGATGCATACCCTACACCCCATATTGATGAGATGATAAACAAGATTGCTAAATGGAGAATATTTAGCATCTTAGACCCCTAAGAAGTGCTTACCACCAAGTAACTATAAACCCTAAAGATAAGCATTCTATGACTTTTGAAGACTGCAGATGACTTTATCAATTCCAACATTCCATCACTAACAGGGTTTCTAATTTTCAGAGCATCCTTGATAAAATGATTATTGAAGACAAACTATAAGGCACCTTTGCCTACATCTGACAGTGTGCGGCTATGACTGGACTGACCACAATCGCAACTTTTAAAATGGGTCTTGCTGGCTGTCAAGAAATATAATCTTACACTCAACCAAAATGGCAAGACTCTTCAGTTACATTCAATAAAGGCACATTAATCTGAACTAAACTCAAGTTTTAATTACAACAGGCTGGTTGATATCCATCAACTTGTCAAGACAATTCTTAAACACATTGGTACAGTACCATCAACCTCAAAAATTAGCATAATTTTGTTGAGATGTTGTAGTTTTATGTCGATGAGAAACAAGATTGCCACATGTGAAAAATTGGCATGTTCATAAAAAGCAATTAACAGTAGAGTGATTAGTAGAACGAAGGTTAGTTAGTTTAACAATATCCAAAGTCATTCCAACACTAACAAAGCTTTCTGACTTCAGACGCATCCTCCAGAAAATGATTATATAAGAGGGACAAACTACAAGTTACCTGGTGGGTGCGCTAACAAATTTCTTATGGATGAATCTGAATTCATCTCTTGATACCACCTTTGAACTTACACTGCATTTTCATACTTCCAGTAGCATTTTTTGATGAACTTTCTTTGTTCAAAGCTAAGCCTGGATGACATTAATTATACTAACATGTAAATCTGAAAAGAACACATGTTGACTTGATCTATACACTAAAAAAGCATGTGTATGCAGCCATCATGTATATATATATATATGTCTTGAGACTTGCTGTATTTTCAGTTTCAGGCAAGCAGGTCCTCTTCATTTGAAGGAATGATATTAACACATACTTCCTACCAACATTTATTCCTTATTTGACCATGTACAAATTTTTTATAAAAAATGTAGAAAATATTGATAGAAGTTCTATGTTGCATAATCAAATAATGTGTTCAGCCATAAAGACATTTTGATTACCAGGGGAAATAAACCTGGATAGGTATTAAGAATAGCCAGGAGCTTTTGTATTTGTCACATATGAAAAAGAAACTTGAGGTGAAAAAATGTGGTTCTACTGAAGGATACTGAGAATACCCTGGACTGAATATGTGAGCAACAGCAATAGATTGGAGAAAATTAAAACAAAAAAAAATTATAGTTAACATCAGAAAGGGACAGTTGAAATTTCTTGAGCTCAAGAAAAGAGGAAATATCTCTGAAATAAATATCAAACTAATTTATTTACACTTTTACAAATCAGGTTTCTGTGATTCCCAATTGTGTGTTGAATATGGGATGAGAATATTTTATTCATAATGTGTGTATATGTATGTATATGTGGGAGGAAGATAAATATAAATTTTCAGTACCTCTGGAATAAGGCTGTAAAAAGTTTTGCTGACAACATTTTTGGTCATGTGCAGTATATAGTGTGTAACAAGTTTAACTTGATCTCTGTGAGTAAAAATTGCCAATTTTTCTAACCTTTGAGGGGATCCAAAATGCTTGATATAAATATTTTGGAAACCATATTATGTGTTTTCTACTAACTACATTTGCATCTGAATTCACATATCTTATAATTTTTTATGAACTTGAACTGATGTCCATGCCCTATAAATCTATGGCAGATGGATTAGGGACCTCATTTCATACAAATTTGTTTTTACTTGATTATCAATTCATTTGAGTGAGCAATAGCTAACAATGATTAAATATTTACCCTATGAATTGATTTACCAAGTCTTATCAAAATCTCTCTCTGATTAGGATTCCTAGCTTTTCTTAATCATTTTCAATACAAATCAAAATTTTACTTCATTATCAAATTTCATTTCACAGAAAAATATGTACTCATGATTATATTAAAATATATATTCATGATTACTAAATTTCATTTGAAGGAACAATATCTGATCCTCATTAAATATTAAGTGAGTTATCCTGAAATGTTGTGAAAGTGTAATAAAAGTACCAAAGTTTATCATGCAATTCAATCCTTTGCATAGCTGTTGCATTTTATTTACTTAACTGTTTCCCTTTTTTCTTTTCAGGACTGGGCTGCAGTATCCAATATTTTTCAAAGCATCTAAGAAATGCTGTTCATGACTTTGCCAAATCATCACCCAAAAATTTGAAAACTGTGAAGATTGTTATTTTTCAGCAGGAAATGTTTGGTGAATTTTGTCAAGAAATGGAAAGCATTGCAAAGAGTACCAAGTCTTTATTCACAAGAATTTCATCTTCAGTTACAAATTATTTTTCAAAAGGTATGACACTATTCTCTCATGCATAATATGTTAAGGTGGGGTCTACTTGGGGTTCTTTTTTTTACTAACTATATCCACTATACAACTTAGTTTTGACACCCTTGACTTAATGTTAAAACAGAAGATGCTACTGGTGCCATCTTATTTTGACCACCTGAGTTATTAGGTACAAGAGAGTAACCAAGAAAGTTTTTACTTACTCCATTTTGAAGCCTTGAAAGTTAAAATGAAGGCCTCAACATTCTGGCTGCATTATCTCTGTTGATTTCTATGAAAAATATTCCTAAGTTCTATCTATTTTGTTTGATTAATCAACAGAAAATTAAACTGGAAGTTAGTATTAATACTTACATTCATTATTTCCAGGATTCGTACAGGTCCTGGAAAATTGATAGGGCCTTTTCCAGAGATTGAAAACCCAGTAGCCAAAAAATTAATTGAAAAATGCCGGAATTTTGTAAATGGGGCTGGCCACACATCCTTTTTTCTCAATTCATGAAAGTCAAAATGTCAAATCCCAGAAATGTGGCCTTTTTAGAAGCTAAAATATTTATTAAGTTGTCAGTAATATTTGGA